GCCCAGGAGAGTTCAAGGCTGCAGCAGCAAGCCATGATGGCGCTACTGCAGTCAAGCTGGGAGGACAGAGTGAGACTCTCAAAAAAAAAAAAAAATCAAATGGAATTTGTCCTGCTAGATTTTAGACTGTGTTTGGGCCTCATAACCCCCTCCTTTTTTCTGATTTCTTCCCTTTGGAATGGACATGCCTATCCTGTACCTATCCCACCATAATATTTTGAAAGCAAACAAGTTGTTGTCTAGTTTCACAGGCTCACAGCTGGAGAACAGTTTTACTCAGATGACTCGTACCTCACACGTCTGCTTTAGATGACATTTAGATGAGGTTTTGAACTTAGAGTTGGTGCAGGAATGGGTTGACTTTTGAGGCTCTTGGGGTGGGATGAGTATATTCTGAATGTTAAAAGGACATGAATTTGGGGGTAAAATATTATGGGCTGAACTGTGTTGCCTCTAAATTCAGATGCTGAAATCCTACCCCCAGAATAATTGCTTCTGAATGTGACTATCTTTGTAGATATAGTCTTTAAAGAGGTGCTTAAGTTAAAATTAGGTCATTAGGATGGGCACTGATTCAATATGACAGATGTCCTTATAAGAAGAGGAAATGGGCTAGGTGCAGTGGCTCACACCTGTAATCCCAGCACTTTGGGAGGCCGAGGCAGGTGGATCACCTGAGGTCAGGAGTTTGAGACCAGCCTGGCCAATGTAGTGAAACCCCCTCTCTACTAAAAATACAAATATTAGTTGGGCTTGGTGGCGGGTGTCTGTAATCCTAGCTACTCAGGAGGCTGAGGCAGGAAAATCACTTGAACCCAGGAGGCGGAGGTTGCAGTGAGCCAAGATGGCTCCATTGCACTCCAGCCTGGGCAACAGAGCTAGACTCCATCTCAAAAATCATAATAATAATAATAATAATAAAGAGGAAATTTGGACATACATGCACAGAGGGAAAACCTTGTAAAGACAAAGGAAGAAGATGACCACGTGAGTCAAAGAGAGATGCCTCAGAAGACACCAATTCTGCCAGCACCTTGACATGGGACTTCTGACCTCCAGGATTGTGAGAAAATTAATTTCTGTGGTTTAAGCTACCCACTCTGTGGTACGTTGGTGTGGCAGCCCTAGAAAACGAACACGCTGTGGCTCTGATGTTGCAAGCCAACATTAGCTTTTTTTATGTTCATTGGTCTGGCTGCCATAAATGATTGCACTCATAATGAGGACCTACAGACTAAGAATTTTTTACTTGATGTGTCCGTGTTGCGTATGAATAAATTTGGCCTTTTTCCCTTTTGGCCCTTCATTATTCAATATATTTTTTAGCACCTACTGTATATTAGGTATGATCAATATAGTAATAAACATGACAGTTTTGGTCTTTGAAGAGTTACCATTCCAATGGGGGGAACTTTTAATAAACAAATATATAATATGGTATCAAATTATGATCATTGTCTGAAAAAGACAAAGCAGGAGCTCCAGGTTATTATGATAGATTTAACACATGCATTCAATTTGATCCCTCTAGAAACATCACTAAAACCAAAGGAAAGGGATTTTTTTCCCCCAAGACACAGCCCTGTAGAATCCAGGAGAGCAGGAGAGGAACAGAAGCAATATTTAGAATTGTAAATCTGAGAGACAAATAGTAACAAATGTTGTAAAACTAAGCAAGCTGAATCCCAAATCCAGCTCAATTTATGTCACAAAACCCTCGAAAGGCACAAGGACTAGGAGCACCAGTCCTTGTGTCTCTGAAACCAGGGACGAAGAAGAAGAGCTAAAACAAGGACAGGTGAAACGATTTGAGAAGTAGTTTTACCCCAAGACACCCACACCCATTCCACTCCACTGGGCACCTGTCCTCCTCCATCAGGAAAGAAGACCGGAGGTTTGCTCTCTGCAGAGCACCTCTGGCAACAAGGACACGCGGCAGTGCAGTTCTGAGAACAGGAGGATTAGGTGATTAGTGCTAGTGAAGCAGGAGCTGAAACTGCACCTGCTCCCCTCCCAACCTCACCCTCACCAGTTGCTTTCTCCCATCCAGTTCCCAGAACACCAGCAGCCAGTTCCTTGCCCCCAAGCAGGAGACTAGAAAATCTTAAAGCCCAAGAGGATAAAACAAAGTTAGGGACATTGACTGTTCCTCAACAATAAATCCCTCAAGGCCTGGGAGGAACAACAAGCTTTAAAAGAGCTCTAAATCCAGGCTAGGCATGGGTGGCTCATGCCTGTATTCCTAGCACTTTGGGAGGCTGAGGCAGGCAGATCACCTGAGGTCGGGAGTTCAAGATCACCCTGACCAACATGGAGAAAGCCAGTCTCTACTAAAAATACAAAATTAGCTAAGTGTGGTGGCACATGCCTGTAATCCCAGCTACTTGACAGGAGAATTGCTTGAACCCAGGAGGTGGAGGTTGCAGTGAGCAGAGATCACACTGTTGCACTCCAGCTTCAGCAACAAGAGCAAAACTCCATCTCAAAAAAAATAAAACAAATAAATAAAGAAAGAACTCTAAATCATTAACAGACATCAAAGTAATAGATAATTGAGAAATCAAACAAATAGAAAAGTCACCTGGCATAAACAGAGATAAAGAAGTAAGAGGAATTTAAAAAAAAAAAAAGCAAAAACATTATTATTAACATTCTCAGAAAGACGAGCAAAGAACTTATATCAATAAAACAAGCACAGATGTTAAGGGAACCAATGAAAGGAACAAAAAAGAGCTCCTGGAAATTAAAAGCATGATAGCAGAAAGGAAAAACCTCAATAAATGGCTGGAAGACTGAGTTGAGGAAATTGTTCAAAAAGTAGAAAAAAAAAGATTAAGATGTTGAAAATAGAAGTAGAGTACAATTCCAGGTTGCTCAACTCCTGAATAATAGGAGTTTCAGAAAAAGATAACAGAGATAATACAGGAGAGAAAATAATCAAGAAATACTGTAACAAAATTTCCTGGAATCGATGGACATGTATTTACAGAATGAAAAGTTTCACAAAGTGCCTGATACAATTGATTCATTCATTCAATCAATGTATAGTAAGTGTCTACCATGTGTCAGGCAGTATTTTAGGCTCTAAGACTAAAAGAGCAAAGCTGACAAAAACGCTTGCTTTTATGGAGTGTACTTGTTTGAAGGTTACTGAAAAAAAAAATCCAAGAAAGTTTAAATGACAGATTGGACAGGGTGAAAACAGAGAAAATAGTAAAAGGAGGTAGGATTCACTGATAAATTAGATGTGGAGTTAATGATGACTTAGAGATAACTCCAAGAAAAACTAGAAAAGAAATTGTTATTTCATAGATAGAGAAAACTCAGATGCAAGTGTTTCAGGGGTAGTGGGAGGGATTTGGAACTTGGTTTGTGTCCAATCCAATTTGAGATGCTTATTACGCATCTAGGAAGAAACATCACTAGGCAGTTGTATGTATGAGTCTGGAGTACAAGGCAGAAGTCCACACTAGAGAAAAAAATTTAGGAATTATCCTTTTCCATGCCCTACTGCTGCCTGAATCAGTCAAGGACATTTATTTCAATATGTGGAAGTATTTCGCTTTGATCTGCCTTTTTTATTAGTTCTAAAGAAAAGTATCCAATATGTTTTAGAATGGCATAACACTCAACCCATACATTCATAATTTGAAAAGAATTGCTTGTATTTTTCCTATTCAGTGACACGTTATGTCTTACCATTTGCTCATATTGGTATTTGTATCTCTCAATAAAAATTTGTAGTTTATTATTTTCTGTATAAATCCTTCACATATATATATATGTATACATATATATATATATATATATTTTTTTTTTTTTTTAAATGGAGTCTTGCTATGTCACCAGGCTGGAGTGCAGTGGTGTGATCTCAGCTCCTTGCAACCTCTGCCTCCCAGTTCCAGCTATTCCCCTGCCTTCAGCCTCCTGAGTAGCTGGGACTACAGGCACACGCCATTACGCCTGGCTAATTTTTTGAATTTTAGTAGAGACAGGGGTTTCACCATGTTGGCCAGGATGGTCTCAATCTCCTGACCTCATGATCCACCCACCTCGGCCTCCCAAAGTGCTGGGATTACATGTGTGAACCACTGCGCCCAGCCCAATCCTTCATATTTCTTATTAGATTATTCTTAGATTCTGTGGTTTTATTTGTTTGGTGTGTGTGTGTGTGTGTGTTGGTGAAGAGGTTGTGTCTAACATAAAAGGATTTTTCCCCATTGTATCCTCTAATTGATTATTTATTGATATAAAAATTCTATTCATTTTTTATATTTACCTTATATCCTGCCACCTAGGTAAATTATTTTATTAATTTTGATAGTTTTTCAGTTCTTGCATTTTCTCAGTGGAAATTACATTACCTACACATTGTAAGTTTTCTTCTCCTTTCCAATACGGCTGACCCTTGAACAACATGGATTTGAACTGCATGGGTCCACTTATACTCAGATTTATTTCAATAAGAATTACATGGAGTGTGCCTGCCTCTCCTGTCTCCCCTTCCACCTCCTCTACCTCTTTCGCTTCTGCCAGCCATGAGAGAGCAAGACTAACCTCTCCTCTTCCTCCTCCTCAGCTTACTCAATATGAAGATGATGAGAATGGGGACCTTTGTGATGATCTTCCACTTAATAAATGGTAAATATAGTTTCTCTTTCTTGTGATTGTCCTAATATTTTCTTTTCTCTAGCTTACTTTATTATGAAAATACAGTATATAATACCAATAATGTACAAAAAAACATGTGTTAATCAACTATGTGGGCTCCTGTTCCCATAAACAGTAGGCTATCATAAAGTTCTGGGGGAATCAAAAGTTAAACACCATGTGTTCTCATTCATATGTAGCAACTTTAAAAGTTGATCTTATAGAAGTAAAAAAGAAAAACAGAAGATACTAGAGGCTGGGAAGCATAATGGGAAGGGAAGGGTGGGGAGAGATGTGTTAAAAGATACAAAATTACCCTGTCTCCTGTTCGTGCCTCCAAGATGACAAAGAAAAGAAGGAACAACGGCTGTGCCTAAAAGGGCCGCGGCCACATGCAGCCCATTCGCTGCACAAATTTTGCCCGATGCATGTCCAAGGATAAGGCCATTAAGAACTTTGTCATTCGAAGCATAGCGGAGGCTGCAGCAGTCAGAGACATTTCTGAGGTGAGTGTCTTCGAAGCCTATGTACTTCCCAAGCTGTATGAGAAGCTGCATTACTGTGTGAGTTGCGCAGTTCACAGCAAAGTAGTCAGAAATCCATCTCATGAAGTCCACAAGGACCAAACACCCCCACCCTGATTTAGACCTGTGGGTGCTACCCTACAACCCCCACCAAAGCCCATGTAAGGAGCTGAGTCCTTAAAAAACTGAAGACGGACTATCCTCTAGAGAAAAATAAAATGGAAACTGTACTTTAAAAATATATACAAAACTACAGCTAGATAGGAAGAATAACTTCTAGTGTTCTATAGCACTGTACGGTGCCTATAGTTAACAATAATTTATTATATAGTTTCAAATAACTAGAAGGAGGATATTGAATTTTCCTAACCCAAAGAAACAATAAACGTTTGAAATGATGAATATGCTAATTACCCTGATCTGATCACCATACATTATATGTACAGAAGCATCACTATATATCCTGTGAATATGTAAAACTATTGTCAGTTTTTTAAAGTTATACATGAATTTTCTGCTGCATGGGGCTGGTGAGCACCTGTAACTCCTGTCTTGTTCAAGGGTCAGCCGCGTGTATTAGGTCCTGTTATGACTCTGAAATCATTGCTTTCCACTACACCATTCTCCTCCTTTTTTCCATGTCCTTTTTGCAAATCTTCAAAACAATACATGTGTCATGTCATACAACCTTATTTGATACATGAGAAAATAATGATCTGGCCACAAAAATTAAGTGATATATCTCAGTTAGGAGCCAATGGGTACCCCTAAGCCAAAACCTGTAGCTGATCAATACGAATTAAGAGGACCAATAGCCCCTACTGATGACCTCATGAGAGGCTCCCACCAAACAGATAAGTTTTATTGGTTAAATGGTATAGGAAACAGTCATAATGATTGGTTACCTCAAAAATTCTTTTGTTTTATGGGTTATAATGGATATAACACAAATTAGAGTGCTAAAAGAACATTTAGGAAAAAATTAAAAATATGTCTATATTTCTTTTTTTCAAGATCTTTGATTCTTCCCTCCTATGATCCTTGCTTCTTTATGTTTGTGTGGAGCATTCAACTGTTTGGGGCTCCCTCCAGTAAGCAGGTCTCAGACTTCAGCCACATCTAGTGCTCATCTCATATCTTGACAAGAGTATCCAAGAACCTCTTGTGCCTTCGAGTCTCTCAATGCCATCTCCATTATACTTCAAACCGCACCCCTAACCTAGGATGATTGGGCTATCCTTCTTAGCTGATAAAACCAGCAGAAAAACTTCGTTTTATTTATTTCTGTCAACTATTGCTTTCAGGCGATATGTGGTATGTTTAACACTCTGAAACATGAAACCCCTGTAAGTAAGTAATCCTGGACACACATCTCCTGCAGCACTGTGTCCTATTCAGCCTCAGTCCAGCTAAGTGTGGAAGTTTACGCACATTTGGATCTTTCTAGACGTTTTCTCTAAGTACCGTGAGAGAAGTGTAAGGCAGCCCCATTTGATTGTTAGAAGGCTGGCTGATTTGCAAGAAAGGGACAGAACATGGAAGAGGCTAGGGCCAGTGCTTGTGAAGTCACCAGCAGCACCATCTCTGCCAGATCAAGACATGCCGCTGCAGCTGTGCCACCTCATCCATCCCTCACGCAGCCTTCTCAAGGAGTTCTCCTGGTACAGCACATACTCTGCTTACTGCAGAACATGTCAGGTCCTTGGCCGGGCACAATGGCTCACGTCTGTAATCCCAGCACTTTGTGAGGTCAAGGCGGGCGGATCACCTGAGGTCAGGAATCTGAGACCAGCCTGACCAACATGGCAAAACTCCATCTCTGCTAAAAATACAAAAATCAGCTGGGTGTGGTGGTGCGTGCTGTAATCCCAGCTACTCAGGAATTTGAGACAGGAGAATCACTTAATCCAGGAGGAAAAGGTTTAAGTGAGCCGAGATCATGCCACTGCACTCCAACACTTCCCTTGGGTGACAGAACAAGACTCTATATCAAAACAAAAACGAAAACAAAACAAAACAAAACCATATGAGGCCCATGCTCTGGGGGACTGACCTTTCCAGGTCTTGAACTTACAGGTAGAACAAGTAGTGACCACAGAAAAACTTGATTCCATTTTAATAACCAGGTTCTTTTCCCTTATGACCACAAAGTATGCTCATCCTTCTACATCAGTCTCTGTATTGTTCTGGGACCCTGACTACTCCTAGGGAGGAGGAATCAGACTTTCCTTCTAAGTGGTGTCTATTCTTGCAAGGACAAGGGTGCCCTGTATGAAAGCCCGAGGGTCATTTCTCAGCTTTCGTTATGTAAACAGTTGGTTTTGCAGGACCAGCCGTGCTTCCCTGGAGACCCGGCCATCTTCTGGTACAGAGCAGAGAGCTGGACGAACATATGTTGCTGGGCCCTGCAGCTTTGACTGAGAGTCACACAGTTTTGGGGATGGGGCTTGGCCACTGTCAATCACTTGAGGTCAGTAGATGTTGCCTCCATGTGGTGGCTTCTGCCACCAAGGCCAGATCTAGGGATCTAGTTGCTAACTTGGCAGCCTTACATTTTTCTACAAGCTTATAGAAATGTTTTGTTTTTCCCTTCCTCTCCTCCTCCTCCTCCTCCTCCTCCTCCCCTTCTTCCTCCTCCTCCAGAATTGTCTTCATTAACAGCAAGAATTCAGGCAGTCTCCCTGGCCTCTCATGCAGCTCAATCCCTGACAGCCTTTCCCTGTAAATGCCACCTGCTGTTACATGCTCCATCTGTTTTGTCAGGCTCACTTCTTTCTACAGCTTCCTCCACTGACTTCAGCAGCTCCTTCATGCATGCCACAGTTTTTCTGAAATCTTTGGATGCATTTTCATAACGACAACATCAGAGCTTCTGCTTCTCTCCATGTTGCCAAATACCTCCTTGGAGTTGTTGGTCTGACTTGGGACTTTGTAACATTCACTGAGGCAGAGGTGTATTTTAGCCATAGTTCAAATTCTCCTCTCTGGGAAGGGCCTTGCACCTCCTGAAAAAAGCCACATATTCCGATCACAGTAGTTTCCACCAAGATCGGGGGACCTCTGCCAAATGGCTGGCCCTTCCCCCACGTTCCAAAGACATCTGCCAGAGCTGCAGAAGCTGAGCGGAGCCTGCCAACAACTGTTACCAGCCTGTCTGAGTAGACCCTGTCTTCTTATTTGAAGAAAACCCCACTTTCTTTAGAAACTTTAGATACGTAGATGCTGGTCTACAGGGTCTCTTTCAGAACATCCAACTTCTTCTATGGGACGTTTCCACAATTCACTGCCTGAAACACTCGGACCACACGTGTTTGCACATCCTGGACTTTCTGTCTGATACATCTAGGACTGAACAATGGGTTCTCTCAGAAGTTCCAGAAGGAATTCCTACAATTCTCGCTTCAAGATGGCACTCCAACCGCATCACATGCAGGCCTGGGTTAGGACATGTCTTGACTCTCCTTATGACACTGTCTTGGTGGCTCACCGGGTGAGTGTGGGGCCAGTCTAAGGGGAGTTGCAGGGAAGCTCCAAAAAAGTAGCTCAGATTTTCTTGGGAGAAGAAAGATTCTGAGCAGCTTGGAAAGTGCCATCACCAGTGCCCTCTTCCTCCTGAGCTAATATCTGAATGAGTCCCTAACTCACAGGAAGACCCTGGCCCACCTTGATGTTCCACTCAACTGTGATCTGTTGGTCCTTTTGGGCAATGATGGAGTCCTCTCCTGCCTGAGGAAAGTAATGCATTTCAAGCCTCTTTCCCTCAGGCCCTCGTTAGCCCCCATCCCCTCACCCGCAGTCTCTGCCCACATTCCTGCCACGGTATCACCCAGCATTGCTTCCTGCAGGAAACCCTGCTGAGGGAGTGTAGCAGTGGACTGTTGAATACTCCACCATGCATTAGGTGATTTACTCCACACAACAGCCCTGAGAGGTAGGAAGGTTGTTATTCCCATTTTATAGAAGAGAAAACTGATGTTCAAACAGGTGAAATAATTTCCCAACTACTGACTGAAGAGCATGGGATACAAATTCTGGGTCATTGGCTGCAAAGGCTGCACGCTTCACAGCCTGGTCATGGGATGTGCTCTTGTGCCTTCAGGAGCCAACACATCACCTTGGCCAATGCTTCGACCAGCGCAAACACTGCATCTTTGTCAGCCTCCTCTGCTGGCGCAGCCACCCAGCCACCTCTGTAACCAATGCCAACAGCTCTTGCAAGAGCAAGAAAGACTCTCCTTAGACCAGAGTGTTTCAACCTCAGCACTACTGGCATTTTGAGCCTGATGACTCTTTGTGGGGGTGGGGAGTTGTACAGGATGCCTAGCAGCATCCCTAGCCTCTACCTACTAGATCAATAACATCCCCCATCACAGCTGTGACAAACAAAAGTGTCTCCAGATATTCCCAAACATTCCTGGGGAGAGGAAGGCTCACAACCAGTTGTTGTCTGGTTGAGGAGAACAACTGCCCTAGGGTACTCACCCTGTCAGCTCTCTCTGCTTTTGAGCCAAAGTTCCTGAGAAATTAAGGTCTCTGATGCAAAGCCTGTCCCCACTATGGTACTTTGAAACACTACTCTTGCTGGGACAGGCACCTGACCAGGCTCCCTCTCACCATCTGTCGTAGCCCAGTCAGCAGCTATAACCAAATCCCATACACTGGATGGATGATACATGACAGAACTTTATTTGTACACAGTTCTGGAGGCTGGATGTGCAAGATCAGGGTGTTGGGACGATCAAGCTCTGGTGAGGGCTCTCTTGTAGGTTGCAGATGACTGCCTTCTTGCTGGGTCCTCAGATGGCAGAAAGAGCATGAGGGAGCTCTCTGCAGTCCCTTTTCTAAGGGCACTAATCTCATTCATGAGGGTTCCATCCTCATAACCTAATCACCTTCTAATACCACGTCTTGGGTATTAGGATTTCAACACATGAATTTGGGTGGACGACGACTTTAAGTTCAGTGCACCATCACTGTCCTGCTGCTCCCTGATGTGCAGCCCCTTCTTGGGGAACTCAGATGGCCCCAAGTAGAATTAGTTGGTCAGGCTCCCTTTCAACAGAGTGTGTCCCTGAATGCTCCACGCCCTGGTCTTCAACATTCACCTTTACCCTCGG